ATCCCCCCTGGGGGGTGATTTCTCACTTTCTGTCTCTATGTCTCTCTCTGTCTGTCGGGCGAGCGCACGCGCCCTACAATGAAAATCTCTCAAAAAAAAAAAAAAAATCTGGTCACATCGTAATCCCTTTTATCCAGCCCTCTAACTCCTCAGTATCTTGGGCATCCTGTGTGCCATACATGTCTCAAGCCAACTGGGCTAGGGATCGAAGCCAACCCCATGGTCAGCTACATGGCTCCCAGGCTGTAGTTCAGTATGCTCCTGACTAAGCTATTCACCTGTGCCAGATAGAGGCTTATTTATTTTTTCTAGGTGGTTATTTATCCGTTCACTGAATGATATAAGGGATTTTTAAATTTAGTAGTAAGTAGTTTAACAATTCGATAGACATTTTGATATCACTATATTGAGGATTTTTTTAGAACCCTGATGAGTGAGGATCACCGAGTTTGTTCTTATGTTCATTGATTTGCTCATTCTTTTATTCAGCAAATATTTGAGTGTTTGTGTTTTTCATCACAGAATTTCTGTTCCTAGATATTGATATGAATGCCTTTAACCCAACTATCTGATGGCAAAAACCCAGGACTGTACTGTCCACCATAGTAGCCACTAGCTATATATGTTGCTGTTTAAATGAACATTAATTAAAATGGAATACAAAATTAGTTCCTTAATGGACTAATTCAGTCCACATTTCAAGTGCTCAGTCCATCACTTCCTGTGACTAGAGGTCACCTTGTTGAACATGCCACTGTGTGAAATATCTCTGTCCTTTCAGGAGCAAAGTTGGTCAGTGCTGTTTCACAGCATCCCTCAACTTAATATTTCAGAGACTTCCCAGCATCCTCATTTATATCTCTCCCAAGACCTACATCTTTCAGATTGATTTCTTTTAAAAAATTCTCCCTTGTTAGGACCAGCAGATGGCATAATGGTTATGTTGCTGGACTCCCGCATGGCTGCCATGGTTCGAATTCCAGACCTGGCTGCTTGAAAATCATGCCAGGCGCGTGTGCATGTATGCCCAAAATCCCAAGAAGAGAACGGAGGAGAAGAGATTATGGCATGGTCATCCCTGCTGGGGGATGATTTCTCTCATTTTGTGTGTCTGTCTCTCTAGTGAGCACACATGCCCAATTGTAAAAATCTCAAGAAACAAAAACAAACCAACAATTCTACCCTTCCTTGTCTTTCTTACTTGTCATCTGAAATAAGGCTTAAATTCAGTTTCCAGTTCTGTGAAGGCTTTTCTGTCACTGCCACCCTCCAACAGCAGTCACTCCTCTCTGTTCTGTTAATACCACTTAGACATATCTCTGTTGGAGCCCTGCTCACATGACAGCTACTGGCTTGTTTATGAAACATATTCTGATGGACCAAGAGATTCATGGGGGTACAGGATTGGGCTTCAGTCATTTCAGGGTAGGGATACACACAATGCTAATATGTAACCACAAGTGTGTGTTTATTGAGCAGATAGAGAGAGGCATGGGTGGACAAAGGAGATCGAAGTAGGTTGCATTCTGAAGGCTAGAGACCAATGGATACCTGCAAACTAGACAAGAGGAGTGTGCTTCCAGCAAGGAGAATGTCACGGACGCAAGCCCAGAGGTAGGAAATTACAGGGCAGCCATGCTCCAAGATGGTAACCACAGGTGCACTGTTAGTACCACTCAAAGCTTAACTGCAGCCATAACAGAATTGAGAAGGTGACCTTCCAGATAAGGGAACCTCCCATGCTGGGCAGTTGTACACCTTAGTAGAAGTGTTGTGTTTAACTTAATAGCCTGACTGTTTAACTTTAGAGGAGTTAACATATACGCTTTCCACTGTGAAATGAGACTGCATTCTCACAGTCTAGTTCATTCTTTAGGACCTTTAAACTTTCTCACTTATGTTAGAGTGTAGGGGAAAAACTGTGTGCATACATGTCCAGAAGGAGAGAGTGTAATATAGGTATTAGAAATAGTGACTTTGTAGTCAGACTCATTCTGATGGTTCCTTTTCCTAGCTGTGTGATCCTGGTCAAGTCACTTCTTTTCTTCTTTAATTTGCCAGGGTGTGTGTATGTATTTGCCAGTGAGAGAGATAAGAGAAAGGGAGCGAGCATCCCCCCCGCCCCCAATAGGGTGTCGTCATACCATAATCCCTTCTCCATTTCTCCATCCTGTTAGGCTTTTTTTTTTTTTTTTTTGAGAGATTTTCACTGTAGGGCGCGTGCGCTCGCCAGACAGCCCCCGCCCCCAATAGGGTGTCGTCATACCATAATCCCTTCTCCATTTCTCCATCCTGTTAGGCTTTTTTTTTTTTTTTTTTTGAGAGATTTTCACTGTAGGGCGCGTGCGCTCGCCAGACAGACAGAGAGAGACATAGAGACAGAAAGCGAGAAATCACCCCCCAGGGGGGATGGTCACGCCGCAATCCCTTCTCCTCCATTCTCCTCTCGGGATCTTGGGCACGCACGCACACGCGCCCGGCGTGAGTTTTAAGCCACTGGGTCCGGGACGTGAACCGCGGTCGACTACGTGGGAGTCCAGCGACATAGCCATTACGCTAACTGCTGGTTCCCAATCCTGTTAGGCTTTGAGGCATACATGCACACATGCCTGGCATGTTTATTAAGCTGTTGGGGGCAGGATTCACACTTTGGGATCAGCCATGTGGGATCTGGCTCTCTAAACCACTAGGCTCTGGGCAAGTCACCTTCTGATCCTAATTTCTTCTTTTCAAAGAAATTTATTTTCTTTCTTTCACGGGGAGTAGACACTCTTGATAGGATCTCTTCATGCTGCAGTCTGCCTCTGCACCTTGCTCTCCCTAGCCTTCCAGCCAGCCAGGACCACAGACATGCACACTCGTTGTTTCAGGTTGACCCAGGATCCAAACCTCTGTAGTCCACACGACATCAGCATTGCAGAGTGGTGTGCTACTCGCTGCACCACCATGGCCAGTCCTGTCACTTAGAGATAACACCTGCCTGTGAGAACCCCGTTAAATATATGTGAGATGTTAGCACTGTGCTCAGTCCTGAGAAAAACATTGACTAAAATATAACTAATAACAAAACAATCATCCCTTAGCCTTTCACTCAGTGGGTAAATTCATAATTATGTTGCCCAAAGGAAGAGTTAACACTTGATATCTAAACATAAATGGTCATCCAGAAAGCACATACGTTATTGGACACTTTTCTTTACTCTTAGGCATGGTTGTCTAAATAGAACCATCTCTAAAGTGAAGTATGTGGTGCTGGCTACTCCCAGAATCATCAGGTCGAATCAGCTGATCTGGTTGAGGTAAAATTAGACCTGAGTAATCTAAAACCCAGGGATAATTTTCTGTATTTGGAAATAAGGTGAACACTTAGGTAAATTACTTAGGAAAAGATTCACTTTTCTCTTATAGTCTGCATAATTAAGAGCGTGCTGTACAGCTGCTCCTAAGGAGGAATAAGAAATTGTGTCCCTCTTTCCATTTTAAATAGGCAAACCAGGATATGAATAAAATAGAGTATCACAGTATGGTCATTCTTTTTTTTTTTTTTTTTAATACTCGTAAAAGAATGCTAACAGTCTTAAATGTGTTGTTTCTCAAAATCTACCTACCCAGGGACCAGCAGTTAGTGTAATGGCTATGTTGCTGGACTCCCACGGAGTCGACCGCGGTGCGAGTCCTGGACCTGGTGGCTTAAAACTCACGCCGGGCACGTGTGCGTGCATGCCCAACATCCCAAGAGGAGAATGGAGGAGAAGGGATTGTGGTGTGGCCACCCCCCCCGGGGGGTGATTTCTCGCTTTCTGTCTCTCTGTCTGTCTCTGCCTGTCGAGCACACGTGCCCTATAGCAAAAACCTCTTCAAAAAAAAAAAAAAAAATCTACCAACCTATATATAATTTCCTGCTTGACTAGTTAATTGTTTTTAATAGACTCCAAGTTGCATTTCTTCCATGGTGGAATTGCATCCTGTCCTTTGACCTTCCCAGAGCTGTTTAGCATAATCCACCTCACTTCTGAGCTGTTATGTTCTTCCTTTCTTGTATCTACTTTATTGTATTAAAATTATCTGCTTGTATCTGCCATCCTCACAGGATTGTGAATTCTTTCATTAGTACGCATTTCCTTACTCATATTTGTGTGTTCAGTGTTTAAAGAGGAGCTGACTTATGCAAGGTGCTTGGTACAGTTTTGCTGATTGAATGAATACCTATTCACTAAAAATTTCTTATATGTGTTCTTCCCAAGTAAACCATAACTCTGAATAAGAAACTATATTATACTTTTTGGTACCTCAAAGCTCTAACACATCAGTAAACATCTATTAGATTGCCTGATAGCCTTGCTGTTAATATCTGGTATCCTGGAAACTTTTCATAGGGTCTATTCTTCAGGTATTAAGTGTTTCTTACTATTTTAGTCTCATGTATACTATAAAATATTTACAATGGCCACCAAAATTTTTTTTAAATCTAAATATTGTGGTGGTATAATTAATGCAACTGTCTGATCTGGTATCATTGTTGTGTGAAGGATCAGTGTTAGGTTGTCAGGAAAAGTCATGATGTGTTTTTCTCTTTTTTCTAAGTAAAAATGTGAAAAATGTATCATGACTTTCACGGCAACCCAATATTACACTCATTCTGTAGACAGTAACAACGCTTATTATGTGTATGTTGTTGAGTAAATGAACTGAATAGTCCAGTTAAATGTAACTATATCATTCTTAGCTTTTTGCTTTTTTGCCCTTTGGCCATTATTTGCTGAGTCCTTGAAGTTAATTTTAGAGCTTAGTCTAGGATAAAGGGTTGGAATTATACAGGAATTCACATACTTTATTAGCTCGCTGCTTAAACTAATTAAAAAAAAAAAAACTAGTTCTGGGATTAGAGCTCCCTTGATGAAATTGTCGAATATGAAATTTGAATTTAATACTTTCCTGAAGGCTTGAATGCATTTTACTTACTGTTTTTTTTTCTTTCCTTTTTTTTTTTTTTAGTTTTAATTTTAATTGCTCTTCCTACTGATAACTGAGCCAGAGTGGTGATGCTCCCAGAGGGAAGTTTCTGCAACCATTAAGTCAACGATCATATGGTAAGAATGTATGTTTTTTATTCTTCAAGTTATTTAATTTCCATAACATGTAGTTTAGAAATTTAATTGGAAATAGAACAGTATAAAATATTTTAAACATCAAATTCATGTTAATATATTTAAACATATAAATACTAACAGCAGATCATATTTTAGAGTTTTAGATCTGAACTAACAGTTCAAAACTTTGAAAGAGAAAAAATATAACTTAATACATTGATTTTATATTAATTTTTTTGTGTGAAAAACTCATAGCCTTTATGACTTATTAAACTGAAATCTCATTTTCTTTCCTGTATTCCTTGCCCATTTACTTTTTACTTGCTGGGATTTGATCTGTTCTTTATTATCTGAATTTTGCTAATAATGAATGGGTATGAGAAGCCAAGATGATGAAACTTAGTCAGTTTTACTATAACTTACTCTGAACTGAGATGGTAGTGATTCCAGTAGTGGCTAAAATGAGGTTTTTGAATTATTTATGGATTTAAATAATCTATATTGCCTTATGTCTGAGGGATAATTGAGGAGTAATGAGACATGGCAGACTAGTAGGGCAGGTCATTTTTTTGAGCTTCGCTTTCTTCATGTGGAAAATACTATCATCTATCTTGCCTGTTTTATAGAGTTGTAAAATTCAAATGAGATAATGTGTGTGAAATTGTCTTTCTCTTTTTTTTTTGGAAGAGTGGAGAGAGAATAACAAAAGTCTTTTCAGTTTAAAATGATATTGAGAGAACAGAATGTGGAGGGAAATATGTTTTACTAGGAGCTGGAATACTTGATTTCTGATCCTCATTACCCCAAGCTGGGGCATATCATTACATCAAGTTACTGTAGGAGCATTAAAATTTATTTCCATACTTAGAGGAATTAATTCTCTACAGAGGAAGTAATCTAGATATCAGTATCTGATATCTGGGAAGTCTCAATGTTTTGAAATTTAATATTGGGCCAGTTGGTGGCTTGATGGTTAGGGTGGTTGAATTCTGCATGGCTGAATTTGCAGTTTGAGACCTGGACCTGGATGCTTGGAGAACATGCTGTGTGTATGTGCATGCCCAAAATCTCAAAGGGAGGGAGAAGTGAAGGAGAGAGGATTATGACATGGCCATCCCCCATGGAGGGGGGGCTTTCTCAGTTTTCCTCTTTCTCTATCCTTTTTCTCTCTCCAGTGAACACATATGCCCTCCAGCAAAATAAAAAACAAATATCACATTCTGAAAATACCATGAATCAATGGAAAGTCACAGAGGACACTGGAAGTCACAGAGGACATTTTGAATTGAATGAAAGTGAAATAACAGTGTAACAAAATATATCAGATGCATCTAAAGCACTACTTTAAGGAAGCATTTTTCATTGTTTAGATTGAATATTTCTAATCCGAAAATCCAAAATCTGAAATACTCCAAAATTCCAAGCTTTTTGAATGCCAACATGAGTCACAAGTAGAGTATTCTATACTTGATCTCGTACTTTGTCACAGTCAAAATGCTGCCATACAACAGTATTGTATAAAGTTACCTTTGATGTATGTATAAGGTATATATGAACATAAATGAATTTTCTGTTTAGACTTGATTCTCACCCCCAAGATATCACATGTATGTGCATATATACCAAAATCACAAAACTATTTTGCTTCCAAGCATTTTGAATAAGTGATATTTAACCTGATTAGAAAGTAAGTTTGAAATGGGACCAGCAGGTGGTGTGGTGGTTAAGGCACTGAATACTCCCACATGGCTGACAATGGTTTGAGTCCTGGAAATGGTGACTTGCTTTCTCACTTTCTATCTCTATCTCTGTCTCTCTCTGACAAAATTAAAGTAAATTAAATGAATAAAGTTAAATAATTCTTTAAAAAGAAGAAAACAAGTTTGAAACAGTAATCTAAACTTTTACTTTCAGAAATCATAAACTGAAGAGCAAATTAAGCCTAGAATAAGAAAGGAAAGAAATAATAAAGAGCAGAAAACAGTGAAATGGAAAATAAACAAAAATCTGTCAAACTAATACTAGTTCTTTGATGAGATAAGGTTGGTAGACCTGTAGCCAAACTAATCAGGATCGAAAAGAGAGAATACAGAAATTCCTAATGTAAGAAAACCAAGTGGTACTATTATTTCAGATCCAACAGCTATTAAAAAGAATAATGAGGCATATTTGAACCATGTGATGTTATTACTTTTTAAAAATATTTAATTTTACTTATTTTAATTTTCTATAGGCCACATGTGCTCATCAGAGAGAGAGAGGGAGAGAGAGAGAAAGCAAGCGCCAGTTCGAGGACTTGAACTGCAGTTTGCCATGTGGGAGTCCAGCACCTTAATCATCCTATGGCACCTGCCGCCCCATAATGTTATTACTTTTGATAACGTAGATAAATGGACACATTCGTTTAGAGAGACAACCTACCAAACAGCACTCAAGAAAAAAGCTGTATGTGGTACTTCAAAGTTGACTAGTGCTTTAAAGTACTGAATAGCTCTTTCTTAATGAAATTAAGTTTGTAGTTGTAACTCCCCACACGAAGAAAGCTCTGAGCCCACATGGCCTCACTGGTCAGTTCTCCCAATCTTTAATGGTAGCTATACAGAAAATCTTGAGAAAACAGAAGAGAGGAAACACAGACTTATTTTAAGAGACTAGTATTAACTTAATTCAAAAAATAAATATATTATTTAATACAGTATTACCAATTTGAATAAGTTAATATAAAAAAGGATAACATCATTTCCAAGTGCTATTTATTCCAGGAGTGTAGATTTGGTTTAATAGTTGAAAATCAGTGTAACTTATAATATTAATAGAATATACAACAGAATCGTAAAAACCTATACAGTCACTTCAGTAGATGCAGGAAAAGCATTCAACAATATTCATTATCCATTTATGATAAAAACTCAGAAAAATAGCAATAGGAGGAAAATGCTCAGAGAAGTAAGGATAGAAGGAAGCTTTCTCAACTGGGTGAAAGGTGTCTGTGAAATGCCTACAACTAATATAATTATTGGTGAAGGAGTGAACGCTTTTGTTTAACTTAAGGAGCAGGGTACAGATGGTCACATATTCCCACTCAGTGTTGTACTGAGAGCCTCATCAGGGCAGTGATGCAAGAAGAAGAAATAAAATGCACACAGATAAGGAAAGTAGAAGTAATCAAATTCAGAATTTTTCTAGCAGGGTAGCCTGAAAAATGTAGATTTTTGCCTTCCACCCTCTGTGATGCAGGGGAGAGGACAACTGAGATGCGAATAGTTGCCGAAAGGCAATTTCCAGTATCTGCTACACTTTGTTTTGTGTTTTGATATGGATCTGAAAGTCATAAAAGCAAGGCAACATTTATATCACTCATAGTTTTAAGTTACTGTTTTCTTTAAAGTTGAAAGTGAGCCTTAACTCTTTGGAGAGTCTCTTTTCAGCCTTTTCTTCATTCTGTTAAAATAAGGGGGAGGGACCAGCAGTTGGCATAATGGCTATGTCGCTGGACTCCCATGTAAAGACCCGGTGGCTTAAAACTCATGTTGGGCGCGTGTGCGTGCGTGCCCAAGATCCCGAGAGGAGAGTGGAGGAGAAGGGATTGTGGCGTGGCCATCCCCCCTGGGGCGTGATTTCTCGCTTTCTGTCCCTCTGTCTCTCTCTGTCTGGCAAGCGCACACGCCCTATAGCAAAAAAAAAACCAAAAAACCTCTAATAAATAAATAAATAAAAATAAGGGGGAAAGCTGTGGTACTTAGAAGTTATGTATTGGTTTAAAATTCCATTAAATAGCTCTTGTTTTTAAATTCAAAGTAAAGAGCTATCCAGAAATGTTAAGATGTCTTCTTAAATTCTGAAGGCAAACAATTATTTACATTAAACATATTACAGCTATCATATAGCTTTGGATGAGTAAAATTGTTTGTATGCTTGCTGTCTGTATCTTAGAATAACTTGACTTGTTTTGTATACCAGTATAATCCATGTGTTTTGCCTATTGAGTTCTGCTCAATAATTTCCAAGTAGCTGCTTATTTTTATGATGGGTGGCAGTGTAGAATTGAGGGCATCTGAGTTCTGATCCCTTTTGCCTAGATGGTTATGTGACAGCATAGTGTTTGGTTTTACTGGAATATTTCTTTTCTTTTTTCTTTTCTTTCTTTCTTTTCTTTCTTTCTCTCTTTCTTCCTTTATTAATTGGAATATTTCTAAGTCCCTATAATGAAATAATTTTATAGCCTGAGTAGAATACTTGCAAATTTAAACAGATGTGTGGTTTAGGGCCAGCCCATGGTCTGGTGATTAAAGGAGTTGGATTCTATAAGGCTGACCTTGTGATTTGAATTGTAGACCCATTGACTTGAAAAAACACACCAGACGTGTGTGCCTGTGGCCAAAGGCCTGAAAAGAGGGAGAAATAAAGTAGAAGGGATTGCAGCATGACCATTCCCTGTTTGGGGGTACTTTCTCCCTCTCCCTCTTGCTGTCTCTCTGGGAAGTACATGTACCCTCTGGCAAAATTAAAAACATGTACACATGCACACAGAAATAATGGTTTAATACTTGCATGCCTTTTTATTTTAATGACAGCTTACTGGCCATGCCAGTAAATGCTGATACTTGGAATGGCAGAGTGGTACGGTGAAGTGTAAACTTAGGAATTAATAGAAAAGCTTGAGTTTAAGTGTGAAAAACATACAGGTTTAAGATTTTTGTGCAAAAATTCACTTAAATCCTTGAGCCTTAGTTTCTTCATCTATGAAAGGAGAAAAGTAATCTTGAGAGCTGCTGGAAGCATTAGAAATAATACTCAAAGCATCTAGAAGGCAGTAGGCACCCACATGTGACTGAGAGAGGCGCTTTGTTGAAGCAGCATTATCAGCGTTTTAGTATGTTTCTGTGCTTACAAATTATGTTATTTTGGATAAGTTGCTCAGCCTTTATGAGTCCTGATTTCTCTATCTGTTAGGTGGAGGTAGTACTAAACTCTATGGTTGTAACGGAATGTATATGATG